TGAATGGTATGTGTGATTCTCTTTTTGATGTGTATCAAAATGTTGAATTTGCTAAAACGTTGTGGGAATCGCTAGAGTCTAAGTACATGACCGAGGATGCTTCTATTAAGAAATTTCTCATTAGTAACTTTAATAGTTACAAAATGGTGGACTCCCGTCCGGTCATGGAGCAATTTCATGAAATTCAACGTTTATATGATCAACTTTTGATACACAACATACATGTTAATGAAACCTTTGCTGTCGGTTCTATAATCGAAAAATTACCCCCTTCATGGAAGGAAGTGAAAAATAGCCTCAAACGCAAAAAGGAGGATTTGTCAATGGAGCAACTGGGTCGCCGACTTCAAATTGAAGAAGGCATTAAGTTGCGTGAAGGTGACAATAGTAAAAGGAACGACCTTCCGATTTCCTCTATAAATGTTATGGAGGAGGGACAATCGAGTGGGACTAATAAAAATAAAAAACGTCCCGGGAAATTCACCAAAGGTTCCAAGTTTCAAAAGAAGCCGAAAAATAAGAAAGTAGGCTCTTGTTGGGAATGTGGTGGTCCACATTTCAAGAGGGACTGCCTGAAGGTGAAAAAGAAGAAAGCCCAACCGAACGGCCATCCGAACGGTGGCCAAGACAACCAAGGTCAGAATATTTTTGTAGTTACAAATGATGTTGATAACAACATGATTTTTGTAGCTATGCTTTCTGAAATTTGTGTTGTGCAGGATGATGAATCTTGGTGGATCGACACCGGAGCGACAAGGCATGTATGCAAAGATAGGCAAGCCTTTAAGACTCTAAAAGAGTTGGAAGAGGGGCCGATCTTATACATGGGAAATGATTCTACTGTGCAAATTCAAGGAATTGGCCAAGTAGAGTTGGAATTAACTTCCGGGAAGAAATTAATTCTTAATGATGTGTACTTTGTACCACAAATCCGGAAAAATCTTGTCTCCGGTGGCATCCTAAATAACTTTGGGTTTAAACTTAGCTTTGAAGCAAATAAGTTTATTTTATCTAAGGGTGGTGTATTTGTAGGCCAAGGTTTCTTTTGTAATGGCATGTTCAAACTAAGTGTTGTGAATAAAGTAATTAATTCCGTTTATATGGTTTGTGATTCTTCTTTGTGGCACAATAGGTTATGTCATGTTAATAATCGTAGATTAAGTGACATGTCAAAAGTAGGATTAATTCCTCCTTTTAATGTTAACATAGAAAAGTGTAGAACTTGCATGTTAAATAAAATCACAAGAAATTCTTTTCAAAATGTTGAAAGAAAATCCAACATGCTTGAATTAGTGCATAGTGATTTGTGTGATTTCCATAGCACTCCTTCTTTTGGAAATAAAAAATATGTAGTCACATTTATTGATGATTGCACAAGATATTGTTATATATATCTTTTATTTTCAAAAGATGAGGCAATGGATAAATTCAAAGTTTTTAAAATGGAAGTTGAGTTACAAACAGGAAAGAAAGTAAAAAGGCTTAGAACGGACAAAGGAGGAGAATATTATGAGCCTAAGTTTTTTGAATCCGTTGGAATAATCCATGAAACAACATCCCCTTACACGCCGCAACAAAACGGCATTGCTGAAAGAAAGAATAGAACTTTGAAAGAAATGGTTAATTCCATGTTGTCTAATTCTGGCTTAAGTAATGGATTTTGGGGTGATGCTATGTTAACTGCTTGTTATATTCTTAATAGAGTGCCTAACAAGAAAAATAAGATTACCCCATATGAACTTTGGCACAAAAGAACACCCCAACTAAGTTATCTTAGGGTATGGGGTTGTAGGGCAATCGTGAGATTGCCGGAACCTAAACGAAAAACGTTAGGTGAAAAGGGGGTAGAGTGCATATTTATTGGACCGAATGACTCAATTGCGGTTCACACTGTTATTGAGTCTAGGGACGCTCTTTTTGATGAGAAGCGGTTCACTTCTATTCCTAGGCCAAAGGATGTTGATCCCGGTCCAAGTAATTCACACTTACATGAACTGGAAAAGGATCATGAAAATGAGCCTGAAATAAGACGGAGTAAGAGGGCTAGAAAAGAAAAGTCATTTGGTCCCGATTTCCAATTATATTTGGTTGAGGGATCAAGAGAGACCCTTGAAACTCAAACACTATATTGTTATAGTGTTGAGGAGGATCCTAACTCTTTTGAAGAGGCAATGAAATCACAAGATGCTTCCTTCTGGAAAGAGGCCGTGAATGATGAAATGGATTCAATCATGGGCAATAATACTTGGGTTCTAAGTGACTTACCGCCCGGTTGCACACCAATCGGTTGTAAATGGATTTTCAAGAAGAAAATGAAAGTAGACGGTACCATTGACAAGTTTAAAGCTAGATTGGTTGCACAAGGCTTTAAACAAAAACATGGTATTGATTACTTTGACACATATGCACCGGTAGCTAGAATAACTACCATAAGATTGTTAATTGCTTTATCGGCTATTCACAATCTTGTAATTCACCAAATGGATGTCAAAACTGCATTCTTAAATGGTGAATTGGAGGAGGAGGTGTATATGAAACAACCTGAAGGGTTTGTTGTTAAAGGACAAGAAAAGAAAGTTTGTAAACTTGTCAAGTCCTTGTATGGTCTGAAACAAGCACCTAAACAATGGCATCAAAGATTTGATGAGGTGGTGCTGAAAAATGGTTTTAAAATTAACCAATCAGACAAGTGCGTGTATAGCAAATTTAATGAGCACGGTAACGGTGTCATTATTTTTCTATATGTGGATGACATGCTCATATTTGGCACTGATTTGAGGCAAGTGAAAGAAACAAAAGCTTTCCTCTGTTCAAACTTCTCCATGAAAGATATGGGTGAAGCGGAAGTTATCCTTGGAATTAGGATAATTAAACAAAGTAATACTATCACTTTAACACAATCTCACTATATAGAGAAAGTGTTGAAAAGATTTGGGAGTTTGGATTGTTCACCAGTTTCCACTCCCATGGATCCTAGTTGGAAATTAGTTCCAAATAGTGGGAACGCTGTATCACAGCTTGAAAATGCTAGGGTGATTGGGTGTTTGATGTATGCAATGACTAGCATCCGACCAGATATTGCATTTGCGGTAGGAAAGCTAAGTAGATATACTAGTAATCCTAGTATATTTCATTGGCAAGCCTTGAAGCGAGTGCTGAAATATCTAAAGAAAACAATGAGCTTCGGCTTATGTTATAAGAGTGAGCCCTCTATATTGGAAGGTTATACGGATGCAAGTTGGATAACTAATCAAGAGGATTATTCATCCACAAGTGGATGGTTATTCCTTCTTGGAGGAGGTGCTATTTCATGGGCATCTAAGAAACAAACTTGTATCACGGACTCTACCATGGCTTCAGAGTTTATAGCTTTAGCATCAGCTTGTAAAGAAGCGGAATGGCTAAAGGATTTAGTGTCGGAAATTCCGATATGGCCTAAACCAATGCCTCCGATATCAATCCATTGTGATAGTGCATCAACTCTGTCAAAAGCTTATAACCATGTGTACAATGGTAAGTCAAGACACATAGGGGTGAGACACAGCTATGTGCGGGAGCTTATAAGTTCTGGAGTTGTTGTGATTGATTTTGTACGATCACATGTGAATTTGGCGGATCCTTTTACAAAGGCGATGCCAAGGGACATGGTGTACAAAACGGCAAAAGGGATGGGGTTAAAGCCCTTAGAAAATAACCACAAGTGAAAGAAAGCACAACTCAACGTCTAGTACAACGCTAGATCTTGAGTTCAATGATGATGAGTAAGTCACTTCGTGGTTGAAGCACTTTTGAATAATAACCATCCCGAGGTAAGTGCTTGAGACTGCAATGTGTAATGAGGTTGACTATGTCTTAATAGATCTTTTGATAAAGTGTTTAATTGCAGGACACAATTTGAAAAGATCTACCTATGTGAGCTAGAATGGCGGCCGATTCACCAAGTTTAAGGCTTTACTTGTTGGAGCTCATGAATGGATATGGACACAAGGCCGTTAATAGTGTCAAGTTTTTTTAAGTGAAAATGTATAAAGACTTGTGTGTGTAATATCTTCAATATTTCAAAGAGGTTGTATAGTTCAAAGCTTAGTCTACTATTATGATCCGAAATATTGTAAAGAATATTGCACTAAATGAAAGTTCAATCTTTAAGACACATTCAATTATGCATAAGTCTTGGTAAGTGGTCTATTTGGCAAGAATTGGGCATGTTTATTTTTCAATAAATGGAGGAGGATTGTTGGAGATTTATTGGAAAATAAAGCACAATTATTATTTACATGGTCTATTAATATTTTATTGTAAAAGGAATTTTAAAATATACGGAGTAATACGTAGTAGTTATTATTTAATATTATGGCTACTACAGTTTTGCACGTGATGCTGTGGTCTCATAATAATAAATAATATTACATACTCCGTATCACGTGAGTCTTTAATTTTCTTGCCCATTGCGGCTTATTTAATTTGCATGTGTGTTTTTTTATAAATATATTAAATGAAATTTTTCAATGAATATACATGCTCGTTTGAATAGCCGCACCTTTTTAAAGTTGCAGTTATCAACTTTGAGTTTGATAACTCTTCGTTGAGTTTAACTTCTTTTGAAAGAGTGGCCTTTTGCATGTATATATATCAAGACCATGTGAATAAGGAAAATACGGCAAATTCATTTTGTCAATCTCTCTAATTGCCATACTCTATTACTTCTATCTGCAGTATTAGTAATAAAGTGTTAAGACCACTTCATATACAAATCACTTGTTCGATGTTATTTTATCAGTAACTAAAATACACCACACACCTTCTTTTTATCCCAAAAGTTCTATCTTGTAACCCGGTTACTGTGATAAGGGTAGATAGTAAACTTTTAGGAAAGCGTATTTAATACGTGACTAGAAGTGATATCCGGTCCAAGCCATATTTACACCCTTGTATTTTACAAGTTTTATCCTCCAGTTCTAACATTTCCATTATTTTCACATGATATCAAGAGCACTAGGGTTTTAGACACAATTTTTTTTCGATGACTATCTCATCTACGTCTGCCGCCGCCACCACTTCGGCCTCCGGCAACACCGCCGCGATGGAACCTGCATCCGAAGCTCCGGTTTTGAGCGCGGCAAAACAGGTTGTCCCTCCTTCAGTGCCACTGCAGTCCGAACTCGTCCACCCTGACGTTTCGATCTTGCCGCTACAATCTACATGGGTCCCACCGCTGTTCACTTGCACGCCGACCCCACCTTTGATCCAGCCGCTTCCTCTGTTCTCCGGGGACTCTCACGGTGAGTCTAGCAGCGCCGCCGCCGGCCGTGCGCGCTTCGGCAGTTCCACCCATGGCGCACACAATTTGAATCCTTTTTGGTTGCGAATGGTCTCTTGGGCATCATTAATGGATCTTCTCCGGCTCCTCCGCTTTATACCTATGATTTATATCAGGCTCCTACAATGAATCCTGAATATTATCATTGGTTGAAGTTTGATCAAATTGTTCGGGCTTGGTTGTTTGCTACGTTATCTCGAGAAGTATTGATGGAAGTTCATACTCTTAAAAATTCCAGTGCTATTTGGCAAAAATTGAAACATATGTTATCTCATACAAAAAAGAAGGCTAATCAATCAATGGAAGAGTATGTTCGTGGCATTTAGACGATTGCGGACAATCTGGCTTCGGTTAATTCCCCGGTTTCTGATTCTGATCTTTTACAAAACACTTTATGGGTTAGGACCGGGTTATGAATCGCTTGTCATCTGATTAGTTTAAAATTTCAAAAATACTAAAATTTCGAACTGATTAATTACATGCTAAAAGGACTGTTTTGCCTCGTTTTTTATAGTTTGTGGGTTTAATTGAATGTTTTTTGAATTCGGGGGCTTAATTGACTTTTTCATATTAGTAGAGGGCCTATTTGACACTTTTCCCATATTTGAATGAAAATTCCCTGAAAAGTTCTTCGTATCAATCTAGTCTAACTTCTGCTGGGGGGGGGGGGGGGGGGCTACTACAATTCTCCTGTAGACCAATATGGAGATTCCAATGTGGTAAGTCGAAATGTTGAGAAACATATCAAACGTTGGTTTGTTGTTTTCATTGATGGTTTAGTGTTTTGTTAGCGCCATTTTTGTATAGCTAATGACACACCGCAAGTAATTTGATATACTAAGTCTTGCCATCTTGGTATAAGACACTCATTTATTTAAAATATTAAATATACTAAAATGTTGCGCAATGAAATTTCAGTACCTCTAAGTAACTTATTATACTCCGTATAACATTAGACATGACTCATGAGGAATGAGAAAATCTGCAGCCAAAGAACTGAAATTATAAAAATATTGCAGCACACAGACATCTTCCCATCCAAACTTATGAAATGATGATCAACGAATGGCAAACTAATGGGTTGTTTGGCTTTTTCCATGGAAAGTATTCACATGTGCTTTCCACCCTTTGGTGAAACCACTCCCACACTCTCCCATGAGAATCACCTTCCTCGCGGCAAGGGCCAAGGGTAAAGCAATTACCACATTTGCACTTGATTGTTTACTTGGTCAAGTCAGGAACAAACAAGCGAAAATAATTCTCCACAATTACCTGGCCTAGAAAGTAAATATTTCCCATATGGATGAACCCAGGCATGAAGAACAAACTTCAAGAAAGATCAAATTCAGACATGGAATAAACTCTTCAAGAGAATCTAGACAACATGGACCATTAAAGGAACAAAAGATCTATCTTCCTCAAGCAGGGTCCTTGAATAACAAATATGAGCTATTAATGCTGTTGAATTAACTGCAGAAGTTGTCACTGTCCGAAACGCTTTGTCAATTTTATTACGTTTAATAATGTACCCCAAGTCCCAACTACCAAAAGAGCCAATCATGTATATCCAAAAAAGGGGCCAATTGTAAGCCTGTCAAAAGGTTCACAATATTAATATTGCAAATGAAAAGGTTCAGAACTCATTAAATCAAGGGAGGAAGTAACATTTACCAGGTTCACTCCCATTTACTTGTTTAAGAATCAGATTTTTCAAGAACGGAACAAAAAACCGCACAGTTTCACAAGAACGCTTGAAGGTTGTACAGGGCCAAATTATAAGTCATCCATGCAAGAGATTTCATAGCAAATCCAGCAGCACAAATAGAGCATTCAAAGACCAAGACCACATTCAAACGTACAAAGTAAGCAAAGCATAAGATCCCAAGAGAACCATACTATCCAACAATTTACGGACAAGAGAAGTGTAGATTATTAGTCTCATGTTTCACAAGTCGAAAAGTTTTGATGATCAACAATACTGTCATTTTCCCAAGCAGTCACAGTTTCATCCACTTGCGGCAGCACCTCTTCCAACTCCTAACCTACAGTTCATCAGCATATATATAAACATCATCACTATAGACTGATAAAACTTTTCAACCATTTTTTGAGAAAAAAGCCCGTTTTGAAAAGTCAACAATAATTTTTAAGTAAGAGTCATGTGGGGCCATCGAAACAGTTTTAGTGAATAAGTATCCCAAACAATTATTCAAATAAGTTTCAAGGGCATAAGACGTGAATAACAACTTGTAAAGGCTTGTATGACTTGCTCAAGACTTGTTTTTAAGACAGATGGAGTATAATAACTATAAATGTAGCAATACTATTAATAATAATAATAATAATAATAGTAGTAGTAGTAATGATGATGATGCTTAAAAGCTAAAACAAAACAAAAATTCTTACAAATCAAAAGTAGCATGGTACCTAATCAGCTCTAGAACCTCCACTGCGACGATCATATGGCCCACTACGGTCACGGCTATATCGGTCTCCTCCACCATCCCGGCTGCGGCCGCCGCCATACCTATCTCCATTGCGGTCAGGTCCATGGCTGCCACTGCTTCTACCACTGCTTCCACCACCGTACCTGTCATCTCTCCCACCATACCTTCCACCTCTACCGCCTCCTCCCCCTGAGGGGCATTCCCTGGCAAAGTGCCCTGGTTTGCCACACTTGAAGCAATCTCCCCCACCCGATCCCCTGTCACCTCCATAATCACGACTGCCACGGTCACGGTCACGTGGGCGATCATTATCATAGCCTCCTCTTCCCTGAGGCTGTGCTCTGTCAACAGTAATTGCACGACCATCTAAATCAATTCCATTCATTTTTTCAATAGCCTCCTCCATTGCTTTTTTCTCATCAAATGCAACAAATCCAAAACCCTTAGAACGACCGTCCATCTTGTTAACGACAACCTGAATAATATGGAAATCACATCTTTTGTTAACAAAAACCTTAATATAACAGCACACAAAACTCAGCTACACAACAGCACTATAAGAGTGAAATAAAGTGTTGGGAAAATTTAATAGGAATAATAGAGTAATAAGAATAACACTCAAAGGAAAAACATGTGATTGTAATCATGATAGTCAAAATCGTGATCTTGCCAGGACAAATAGCAGTACTTAAATACTTGGCGAAATGTATACTCAGTTGTAAAACAGTACTATTATATAAAAAAGCTACTGCTTTGAACTTAATTATACGGAGTAAAATTGGTGTGCACTATGTACTGCCAGAAAACAATGTGGGCGTTCTCCTAAACATAATCCTTATGCAACAAATGTTATCAAAGAACTCATAATCAAGGCCACGTTCCGCTAAGTTTTCATCATACCATGGTAATATTGTGTGGTTCAAATTTATTCTTAATTAACTCATAAAGGATAAATGGAACATCGACCACATAATTCCACTTTTCTTAATAATCATGTCACTTACTCATTTCTCGTTTTTTTTGGAGCAGAGGTAATAAAAAAGTACAAACATGCTCAGTAAGTGATAACTCTAGAAACCAGCACAGATTGTCACTCAAGCATGATGGTAAGGTTGTGGTCTCAACAAATGACTACTTCATAAAGTATTCCTTACCTTTGCCTCAACAACAGTTCCAAACTTCCTGAACTCATCTTTTAGATCTCTGTCAGATATTGTCCATGACAAGTTACCTATGAAACAGCGGTACTCAGATTCCTCCCCCATCTCTCGCAGAAACTCTTGCCTTCTGCAAACAAAAACAAAACAAATAACCAGAAGACTGAGAACCAGACTTGAAGAGGGATGGGGGTGAGATAAAAAACTGAAATTGTCAGATATTGATTCATTAAACAATGAATGCTCATGGTTAATTACTTTAATGTTAAACAATTCAGGCTGTGCTCCAAATAATCTTAGAAGTATCATTTGACAGATAATATATAATGTTTATACATAAGATATAGAGTTTCCACTCTTACTAGAGAATGCAATACAAACCAGTAAGCATGTTAATATGCAAGTAGCTAGCAGTCAACGCTCTTTTTGACTTTTTATATTGTATTGTAACACTGATCGTTCACTTGACTAGAAGGCTAAGTAGACAAAATGTATACACATCTACACAAACTATGACCCAACAGCCCTGTCACAGAACTACTACAGAGCTAGGGAAGCACGGAAACTCTCCATGGCTCACGTTTCCACGTTTCGGAAACCTCGGATTCCAATTTTTTTCTTTTTCAAAAGATTCTGTGGTGGAAAATAATTTTTTATAGTGAATTTTTGTGGTATTTCTTAGGGGCAACACTTGTTACATTTCGTAACGCAATGTATTGCTAGAAATGTATTACTCCGTACATTTTATGTTTAATTATGTACTAATATGAAATAATAACTAAATTCGAACATGTAGAGTGATTTTATTATTTGGTTACTAAACAAATTATATTAAAAAAACATGTGCATATGGAAAAACTTGTGCACATATATTAAAAAATATTTATAAATATATCCTTATATTTTATAATATTTATGCGTTTCCCCCAGGTTACGTGTCCTATATTTTTTAGAAATTACGTTTCCCGCGTTTCCCGTTTCCCGTTTCCGTGCTACTTATGAGTACAGAGATAACTTTTAGGTCACATTAGTAGCACAATAGCATGAATACAATGGAACACCACACCTCAGTCAGGTGTCTTGAATATGATCTCATAGTGTAACACTGTAACATCCAGACTTCCTAAAAAAGCTAACATTCTTATGAAAAAAGTAAAACAACAAATACATGACAAGAGCACTTGAAGTCTTGAAAAAGAAGCAAAAGCCCTATTTGCCTATTTGCAAGAGTATAACTTGCACCAGCAAAACCCCTATTACGATCACAATATGTGAAATATACTTCCAATACATAAAACCATGAGTTACGAAACCCTAATAGTACACCCCTTCACACGATTTTGAGGATAACACATGATAATGAAACAATTAGATCGATAAAGCCGGAAATTTGCAGGTAAACTAAACAGATCTCGAATTGATTATAATAAATAAATAACATCAATAGCGAGAAGGCAACAGTCATGGGGGCAGGAAATACCTAAAAGCGAAGCGTAGGAGAAGAGGATGATGAGCTTCTGGCGTTTCAATTAAGCCGAATATATATAAATAAGAGAAAACTATCAAATAAGCCCCCCAACTATTAAAAAAAATCAATTAAGCCCCTGAACCGAAACTTCCCTCAATTAAACCCTTGAACCCATTTAAAACAGCCAATTTCTCCTTTTTCCATATAATCGACCGGTTAGCATATTTACATGATTATTTGGCGGTTGACATGGCGAGTAGGGCTAAATATCTCCAATTTGGCGGTTGACGTGGCCAAATCCTCCTTTTACCCTATAACTATAATCTCCAATTTGAAAATCAGAATTAACCCTAAATATGCAGACAAAGGCGAGCGTGTAGAGCTACGGGAAAGAGGCGAGTAGAGCTCAAAGAACGCCAACGAATAGCTGGAAAGGGAAGTTTGGAGCTGCACTTTAAGAGTAACCGTACGTTTGGCATCTTCCTCCTCTTAAAGGTTAGTACATGTGTGGGGTGCGTAAGAGTTATTGTGTGCACACCTAATTTTTCAGTTTTCTGTTTACGTTGAATTTTTTTGTACGGACGAATGAATTATTGAGCATGATTTTTAACCACAGGATGTTTGACCGAGTTGAACTTGTCATTCACCATGGTGGAACTTTCAGTTACAAGCCTAAGTGTGTGTACAAGGGTGGTGATGTTGATAGATTTGTAATTGACCCTGATTTAATATGTTACCCTCATCTAATGAAGTGTTTCAATTCTGGTAATTATGGAAATATTAGTGGGTTGTATTATAAGAGGCCTAAGGACCCTATGGACAGTCTACATCAGCTATTCAATGACGAAACCACCTTACATTTAATTCAACTGGCAACAACTTGTGGAGCATGTGATATATTTGTAGACCATGGGATAGATGATGCTGATTTGGTTGACATTTTGCTCTTACCTGCACCACATGTTCAACAAACACACATTGGCAGTGACATTGGAGGCTCAAGTGTTCACACACTGGTAGGTGATGAGAGTGAGCATAATGCTCAAAAGGGGGATAATGTGAACCAGAATGATGAGAGTCACATTGGAGCCTCAAATGCAAAACAGACTGTTGAAGAAGAAGAAGAAGAAGAAGAAGAAGAAACACACGATGGTGTGTACACTGAAGAGGAAGATGACATGGAAGAGGGTGATAGTGGAGAAGAAAGTTCAGAGGGTGAAACAGAACAAGATGAGGAACTGAGTGGGCAGGATGGGGAAGGAACTGAAAGTCAATACACCCAATATGTTAAAAACAAATTCCAAGATTGGGCTGCTTGTGACTCAGAAACAAGTGTTGAGTATGATTCTGATAACCATTGCAGCATACAATCAGAAGAGGGTGAAGAAGATACATGTGTGCAGCAACAAACAAAGAAGGCAATGCATCCAAGCTATAACCCAGAGTCTGAACGGCCTAAAATTGAGTTGACCATGTTGTTTGAGGATGGAAGGCAGTTCAAAAATGCAATGATCAGATATGCTGTACGCAAAAAAAGAGCCCTCCGCTTTGCTAAGAATGAACCACATAGAGTGCGTGTAAAGTGTGGAACAAACTGTCCTTTTAGGTGCACTGCTACATGGGATAAAAGGTATCACTGTATGCAAGTGAAGGTGTTCAAAAAACGTCATTTATGCAATAAGAAGTTTAAATTAGGGATTGTTAGTCAGAAATGGATTGAAGAGCAGTATGAAGAAAAAGTTTTTGCTAATCAAAACATGACTGCCATGGACTTAAAAGCTCTTATTAAGGCTGAACTTAAGATTAATGTTTCTGTCAATATGGTGAGTAGGGCAATGAGGGGGATACATGAAAAAACAAACTCTACTTTTAAGGACCAATTTAAGAGAATTAGGGATTACGCTGAGGAGTGTCTTAAGTCCATTCCTGATAGTACCGTGGTCATAAAAACTGTTAGAGTTGTGCCTGAAGCCCCATGTGTTTTCCAGAGGATATACTTCTGCTTTGGAGCTGTTAAAAAGGGGTTTATACAGGGATGTCGAAAGGTGATTGGGGTTGATGGCTGTTTTTTAAAAGGTCAACTAAAGGGTGAAATATTGACTGCGGTTGGTAGGGATGCTAACAACCAGATGTACCCAATTGCTTGGGCTGTTGTGGAGATCGAGAACAATTCTTCTTGGACATGGTTCTTAGAGCTTCTCAAACAAGACCTAAACATTGAAATGCCAGACCTGTGGACTATTATCAGTGACCAGCAGAAGGTTTGCCTCTAGTACTTGAACTCTAATAGTAATTAATGCCAGCACCAGAATGCCTTAAGGCATTGATCACATTTGAATATCATCTTTGTAGCATTGTATTTTAATAATTATGTGTTCCTTAATTTGTTTTTTGTAGGGGTTGTCAAGTGTTATAGAGCAGGTTTTGAGTGGAATTGAGCACAGAAATTGTGCTAGGCATATACATGCCAATTGGAGCAAATCTCATCGAGGCTTAATCCTAAAGAAGTTATTCTGGAAGGTTGCAAAGTGCACATCACAACAAGAACTCCAAGCAACCATAAAAGAGATGGAGAAAGTAGATTCTCAAGCTGCCATAGATTTACAGAAATACCCGCTTCAGTTATGGTGCAAGGCATTCTTTAGAGTGGGTGTGAAGTGTGATGCGTGCGATAATAATCTCTCTGAAGCCTTCAATAGTACACTCATAAAATGCAGATCCAAGCCCTTAATTCCAATGCTTGAGGATATACGGGTGGGAATGATGAAGAGAATTGCGAAGAAAAAAAAGGCTGTGCTGAAATGGCCAGGTATTTGTCCTTTCATACGAATGCGTGGTATTTTTCATTTATATAGGAACCCATATTTAATGACATGTGTTCTGTGTTTTCCAGGAAACTTTGGATCCATTATAAGAAAAAAGTTGAATAAGAATATTTATGCCAGCTCTGGGTGGCATGTTGATTTCAATGGAGACGACGGGTATGAGATCAAGAAGGGAAGGCTTCAATTCACAGTCACCCTACAAGGCAGATCTTGTAGTTGCAGAAAGTGGGATGTTTCAGGTTGTTTGTTATGAAAAGTCCAACCTAAAAGTTTTCTTCTTCTTGTACTAATACTGTTTTCAATTGTTATTTAAGGTATACCTTGTGCACATGCAATTTGTGCCATTTTAGACCAAGGTCACAATCCAGAAGACTTTGTGGATAGGTGTTATTCTAAAGAAATGTATGAGAGAACATACTCTCATACTCTACAGCCTATTAATGGGGAAATGTTATGGCCGAGAACTGAGTATGAGGAAATCCAACCACCTATACCCAAAAAAATGAGTGGAAGGCCAAAGAAGAAAAGAGTGCGTGAAGAGACTGAGCCTCCCTCAGCAACTAAGATGTCAAAGAAGGGTATAGTTATGTCATGCTCAAAGTGTAAGGAAACTGGTCATAACAGGTTGCGTTGTCCAAATAACACTGCACCTACTCCAACTACAACAGGAAGAGGAAGAGGAAATGGGAGAGGGAGGGGGAGAGGGAGGGGGAGAGGGAGGGGGAGGGGGATACAAACTGAATCAACAGTCGATGCACCTATTGGAGGTGAAGCTGAAGTAGGGAGTGGTAAGGGAAGAGGAAAAACGAGGGGGAGAGGGAAAATGAGGGGAAAAGGGAGGAAGTATAATGCTGATAATGTATCTGGTTTTGGGATTTACATGGATCCACAAACTGGAGCAACAGTCCTTAATGTATGCATTGTGCACCTTTCATGATTTGAGGACATTTATAAATGTTGATTGATTACTGAGCATCATATTTTGTTTTTTATTGCAGCCTAACCAGCGTGGAGAAGCGGTGGTGTGTGAAGGGACAAATTGAAGAAGGGAACCACAAGAAGAATGGACTGTTTTTGGGCACCGGCCGAGTTGACTGTCATCAGTTTTTTGGGGACTTCTCAAGCTTAAATGTCAACAATTTTGTGTGTATTTATATTACAATGGCCAGTGTAATTTATGAAGTAGCACGTTTTGGGATTTATGTTCATGTAAACTTTGCTTATGATGTAAGGTTATAATGCTTTTTTGTAAACTCTTATGTATACTATGGTTTGGATGGCACATTCTGGCCAATATTTTGAATGTTAAGATATTTGGGCATAAATATGGGTGTTATATGAAATCACCATGTGCATGAGTTGCTCAGGATATTCATGTCAGTGTGGAAGTGATTTGGTTCAGTCCTGTATTTTGTAATGTTCAGGGCTGTAGTTGTTTGGATTAGGCCTGCATTTTGGTTGGTTCATGGCTTACTTTTTGGCTGATTCGGGTCTGCATTTTGGTTGGTTCAAGGCTGTATTTTGGTTTATGAATTCATCACTTTCTTTCCTTTGGTTCAGGGCTATATATATGGCTGGATTAGGCCTGCATTTAGGTTGGATTAGGGCTGCAATTAGGTTGGTTTAGGGCTGCATTTTGGTTGGTTCAGGTCTGCATTTTCGCTGGTTCAGTGGCGTATATTGTTACACCAAAACCTTGCATATCATACATGGTTTAGGGTTGTAGGTGGATACCTTATTTCTGAGCCAATAGCAGGCTTGTTTTTTTACTTTCATATCATACATGTGATTATACCATAACACCAAATGGAAACCAATCAGTGTAGTACTAAGAACAAAACTAAAAACTGCTCTGAAACTACATCAAATGATCAAACTACTTCCAGATGCCAATCATGAAACAACTATATTTGTATCACTTTGAAAATGGTGATTCTTGGCATTTCTTTTTTCAACTGTAATTTCACTCTGTATATTTCACTTTGAAACAACTACTTACACTCTGTATAATTTCAATGAAATGGTTCCAAGAATCGCACCATACTAATCAGTGCATAACAACAAGAGGGAAAACATTGCATTACTTTCAGGTCAGTTCAATCCAACATTAAAATCAATCAATACATTTTCATAACATTACAAATCCCCAAATTTACTAATGGATGACAATTTCAGCCTTCACACATACATGGCTTAGTCAAAAAAATCAACCCAAATAAACCCAGGCATAAACATAGACCAACTGCATAACAAAACACCCTAAATTGTTTTTTCCCCAAAGCCTCTGCTTGTAGGTGCAGTCTAATAGAAGCAATGTCTCTTTCAACCAAATAGATGTCT